CTGTCAGGCTGACAGGAATAACCAAAACATACATTTCTTCCATCTTAAACAGCAGAGTTCAGTATGTTGTCACAGAAGATACTATCCACATTGGAGTTAGAATGTCCTGTTTCTCAAACTAAACATTTTACATTTTCTCATTACAATAACTGTTTATTAGAATGGACTACACTGCACTATTAATCTAACAAATCACATGCACTTTACATGGTTTCAGGCATAAACACCAGTACTTCACAACGAAACAGTACAAATTTTATGTTCGATTCATCTTAGACTATGGGTAACTTTGTATTTCTTATGCATCTAAAACCTTGGGGTTGTCAGATCGTGAATATAATGTACTGTAAATGATGAGGAAAACAGCTTTTTTTTTCTTTGGAAAGATGAATATTTTTATAATAGAAACGTATAGTGAAGACAAGAGGGTTCAGTGCTGCATCTGAAAAATTAATAGTTGTTGCATTTTAAAACTGAAGAGGCACAAAACGCTATGAGCATCTGGAACAAATAACCCAACAAGGTTGTGGATGGTGACTCTCGAGACAGCTCCGGTACCATGGAGGCTTAGAATTGTGGGTTTGATTTAATCAACCAAAAATGGCTGTCCAGGTGTGAACATGTGCTTGGCATTTTTTTCCCAGGACTAAGTGCCAGGAACAATACAGGATCTGACAGTTGTTGTTTTTTTCTTATAAGAGCAGAATAATGAGAAAAATGCAGATAGTCTAGGAGGACAGACTTTATTAAAGGGTGAAAGGAACAAGGAAGGAGCAGTAGATGACAGGTAATAAAAGCAAGAAAGCCAAAATAAAATAATTATACATGCATAAATTGAAAGAACAGATGGCGTTTTATTCATTCACAAAGGAGGATATAAAAACCAAGCTTCCCCTCCTCTTACAGATGGTTTTCAATCTATCCAATGAACTGGATGTGGATGCACCTCTATTACAAGGCTTACAGGTGGCTGCATATCAGTTTTGTGTCAAGTGTGTTTTTATCTGGTTTGCTGGTCTGGCCCCTTTCCAAGATCTTGTATTTCTGGCTCTTCGTTTGAATTAGCATCAAACTCTAAGAATACTTTTCCTTTCTTCTTCTTGTAATTCGAATGTGACCGAGCTACTGAAATTGGCATTGTTTCAAATACTGCAGCAATCACAGCGCACATCTAGACAATACAATTCAACACAATACATACACTGTATTTCTGAAAACCATAGAAAAGCTTCTCTAAATCAAATGTTTTAGCAAATACAGCCATTTTCAAATGACCTTTAAAAGAATATATGTGGATACTTCAAATACAGGGAATGGTTTTCTTAAATTTGGAATTCCGATAGAAAAACTGTCTTCAGAATAGTTTAGGTGGGTTGCCAAAAAATCTTCACATTACATACTGTATTTAGAAATCATGTTGCAATGGAGAGGCAGCATGAAAAATTGTCTGTATTAAAAGCAATAATAAAAGTACCTCAAACGTCCAATGAAGTCTTTCTGGTTGGGAGGTAAAATGTTCAGGTTAATTTAATCCAATAATCCAATTGTTCTTGCAGATTCATGAATGCAGTTACAGTTGTTATTGTAATTCCTGGCTGTTTGTTGTAGCAGTTTCCATCCATCGGGATTTAAAAGCACTTCTTGGCCTTGGAGTGTGCACATTGACACGGTACAGGTAATAAGAAATCAATGAGCTGAAAAACCAGCCAGTGTTTGGTTCGCATATCTTTAATTGTGTAACATTTCATACAGTAGATCACAATATTGCCCAAATCTTTCAAATACATGCCAGCTTGTGTCCTGGAAAATAAGCTTAGATGTTAAAATATTGACAATATTTTATCTTTTTTTTTAAGTGACCCACACTGTTATTAAGCACACAATAAGAAGTACCTTATATTCCTATGATGTTCTAATAGTGCTATTTACTGTGCTTGTCCCTTTCTGGTTTTTTATTATATAGTTTAGCATTTAATTGTTAAGATATTTTTGTCAATTGTGATGTGAGTTTGTTGACAGGGGGTTTTGGGATTCAGGATTTCCCTAATCACACCGTAAACGGTTGAATTGGGGGGCAGATTTATGTTTACATTGTTGTATAATGTGTTTAGCAAGTTAGGTTGCTATAAACAAAGAGTGTCTTAGGTTACTGTAGATAATCCGTTTCAGAGTTGGCATGCCTTCAGTGTTTACCAGTAAATGAAACTTCTTCCTTCTTCCGCAGCTTCTTTGTTGTATACAGTAAGTCAGGTGGAAAAACGACAGTATTTACAGATATCAGATGTGGAAGACTTCATGTTGAGGCTCTAAGTATTAATGTTTTGTGCATATTATTTGATATGTACAGTAACTTTATGAATGTTGTATTGTTTTTTGCCACATATCCCTTTAGGCCAGCTTTTTTCATACTACTGTATATACATGATCCATCTTGGCTTAAACTGAATATAGTACTACATTTAAAGGCCCTTAATTGAACAAATGGGTTGGATTAATTGCTATACTCCTTATCACTCAACAGGTGATTTAGGGTGACTTCTAAAACATAGTGCATTGCGGCTCACCAGGACCAGAGTTGGGGACCCTGTGTTTAGTGCAGGGGCCTCAAACCCTAGTTCTGCAGGATCTCCAGACCATTAAGTCTTATATTTTGTCCCGAATCACTTTTTTAAAGATAAGGAGCTCTTGGAAGCTGGTCAATTAAGTGATCTCCAGTTCTCAAAGTCTGAAGAACCTTCAGACTTTTTTCCAAACAGTCTCTGACACATTTAATTTAAAAGGAAACTGATCTAAGTTTAATTGTTCCAAGTCTTTAGATTTTTTATTTAATGGCCTATAAAACTTGCTGGATAAGGGATCTCTAGGAGCATGGGAGATATTTGGTGAAGGGTATCATATATGTTCAGTAATAGCTAAAGTCAATTGGAAGTTCATACTCCGAATTTTATCATATACTATTTGCAAGTAATGACAGCCTGTACTTTGATTACATGCTGTACCTTGTACTTGAGACATTGGTGGCCGAAATCTAAATTGGGTCTTTAATCAGCCTAAACACAGATTCACAAAGAGGGTAGCTCTGTCCTCCATTCAGTGGCTTATATCTGTTAGGGATGCTGTCTTGCAAAGTAATGGTGTGCTTTTCACAAGACAAACAAGCATGGGCCAAAACGTACAGCCAAAGCCTCACTGGAGTGGTCACTGGAAAGTCAATGTTCTGGAGTGGCTCAGTGAAAGCCTGGACCTCAATTCAATCAAGAATCTGTGGTAACATTTGACCAACAGTTCCGCTCCAACCTGAGAGAGTTTGAGCAATTTTGCAAACAAGAAAGGGCTCAAATTGTAATCTCTAAACATGTAAAGCTGATAGAAACTTATTCATGAAGATTTATGGGTGGGCAATTTGTCTTTGTAAAGAATTCACTAGGATCTGTAGAACTTTGTTTTTACTTTGACATTACAGAGTGTTTTCTGTCAGTATGTCAAAACTTCCAGGTTAAATGCACTATGATTCCATATTGAAACACAATAAAATGTGACAATGTTGTATTTGGCAACTCTAGGTTACATAAAAATACCCCTTTATCACCTTGTAGCGGCGAGGCTTAATAATAAGGCAGAATTAAGTGTTTCTGAGCTTCCCAAATGAGGCCCCATTTCTCTGT